ATATGTGCAACTAATGTGTATTAAATGCACTCACTCTAATGGGGTATAATAATGCATCATAAAGGATAGCTGTTACTCTACCAGCTCATTTATTGGATTTACGTAGATATACCAACATAAGTTTAAGGCAGAGAAGAAACTTTTAATGCTATTCTCTTTTCAGTAAATGCGTAGGAAAATGCATAAAAATAAACTTAAAGATTCTTATCATAATTTAATTTTAAATTTTATAAAATTTATTATTTTTTTATTTATTATAGATTCTCTTCTCAAATATAAAATCAGTTTAATATGCTCAGAAAAGGTTTTATTATCAATTAATATATAAGTTAATAAAATATTAATATATTTTTTAATGTATATGCTCTTCTCAAATAAAACATATGTTTAATTTACTCATAAAATATTTATCAAAAATTAATATATAATTTTAAAAAATGTATTATATATTAATTTTTTATATATTCATTCACTACAGAGCATCTATAAGTCATCTATGCAATATTATTCTCTTTTTTTGGTATCTTAACTATTCTTTTTTTTTTTTCATTTTGCTGCTGATTGGAGATTTATGATAATTGATTGACCGCGTTGGCGCGAGTTTTTCTCTGGCAATCCGCACATTGCGCATACGCAACGTTGTCGGCTGGCTGCTAGATTGCAGAATAAATCATTGAATCAATATTTTGTCATGTCTGGAGTGAAAAACTGTTTGGCAGCCAAACACGTGCTCCACATTTGGGCTCCACATTGCAGCAAATTATTTATACATATATATAGTTTGTTTTTTTCATTCAATCGTAGAATGCAATTATGCTGTCAATTGCTCGTCATGTTCGTTTGTGGACTTTTGCAGAATTATTATTGTTTAATTGTTAATTTATTGCATGTTTTTTGTGATTTGTGACCGAATAGCATTAAAATATTGCATATTGCAGAGACTTTGTCTGTATTTCTCTAGGCAGCCTGCATGGCTGAAGGCCAATATCAAGGTGTGCAGCATGTGTTTTGACAGAGCTAGCTGAGCCGTTGTCAAATAAAATGTTGATTGCTGAATAATTTATTTATTTATTGCGGAATTCCACATTTTTTGTCATATGTAAAAAATTATCATATGCATTTTTTCATAATTTTATTTTTAAATCAAATTACGATTGTTGAGCATTTATTATTATTCTTTATGAGAATTAATACTTCTCTTTCTAGATTTGTTTTATAATAAGCATATATTCTCTCTCTTTAAAATAAATATTATATAGAGAGTTGAAATTAATGAAAAATATACTCAATAATAGTAATAATTTCAAAAAATAATAATTATTATTATTTACAAATATTTTTAACATACAACAAAA